TGTATGTATATGCCCTGTTTGTAAGCACATGTATGTCCTCTACGTGTGTAACCTGCTCCTCTCGTTCGTGTTTGTACGTCGTGTGTCATCGAGAGAGACTTATATTCCGAGAGGAGAAACGAAGGACTCTCACTTTTATCGGTCTCCTTGAAGGAAGTTCCCGCGCAGCTGTCGTCGACGACGATGGTTCTGCTCTGCATCCGCAGGGAATTACAGTTAGGTTAGCAAGGACGTGCCGACGGCCTCTCCTCCCATTAAGAAAGACGGAGCGCCGTATATCTCGTCCTCCTCGTGTTAAGGAACGCATATATCTAACCACCGAATCCTCCTCCTCCTGCTCCTCCTCCTTCTCCTTCTCCTTTTCTGTGGAGTATTTTTTTTCTTTTTTTTTTTTTTTTATCCGTTTAATATTCCCATTAATAAAATAAACGGACCCCCGTCGTCCTATACTTGTTTATTATTATTGTACTTATTTCGTCTTAGTTATTTGCATATGTCACGATGTCTTTTTTTTTTTCTTTCTTTTTTTTTTTTCTTTTTTTTTTCTTCTTTCTTTCTTTCTTTCTTTCTTTCTTTCTTTCTTTCTTTCTTTCTTTCTTTCTTTGCATAGACCAGTCTCACCAACGCCAATACCACCAACGACATCATCGACACCATCTACGACTGGTCACTGTTACTAATACCACGTTAATAGAAATAGCATGGAATGGCAAATATCGGTCACGTGCCTCATCCAGAAACACGTGCGCTCGCGGTTGCGTTTTCCTACTTGGTAGCAAACCTCTATAGAATATGCAAATTGATCTCGAACGAGAAGGTTGCTTGCTGCTATTCGAAGGTACTTACCTATGGTACTTACTTACTTGTTTATCTCACCGAACGAACGTTTTTTTTTTTTTTTTCTTTCGTTTCTTTCTTTTTCTTTTTCTTCTTCTTCTTCTTTTCTTTTCTATTTTTCTTTTTTCTTTTTTTTTCTTTTTTTTCTTTTTTTTTTTTCTTTTGCTTCTTTCTTTTTCTTTCTTCATACCGCGTAATAGTCGTATCTATGTTGCGTAGTCGGAGTACAGAGTTAAGTTACAGATAAGGGGTTATGGAATATATAAAAAGGATCTTTCGAAATACGGATAGGATGATTCGTTCGTTCCTTTTTTTTTTTACTTTTTTTTTTTTTTTTTTTACTTTTTCCTTTCTACGCGACTCACCGCCTCCCTTCGTCCCTACAACCTCACCCTTGTCACTCGTCGTCACGAAATTATTTCTTTCGACGATTATAAACGTCGAAAAGAATGGAGGAAAAAGAGAGAGAGAGAGAGACAGAGAGACAGAGAGAGAGAGAGAGAGAGAGAGAGAGAGAGAGAGAGAGAGAGAGAAAGCAGAGGGATGTCCAAATACCTGGAAAGACCAGATCTCGCAGCATTATCATCCGGCATACCGACGTATATATATAAAAGGCTGAAACTCTCGAATGTCAAGGACGTCTCGGTTTCTTGACTTTTCCCAAGAATTTCGTCCATTTGCAATTTCTTGGAGTCGCTTCTTCGTCGCCTTCGCGAAATCACTGTACGACCTTGTTTTGTCCGTGTAACGATACGCGTATATTTTTGACAGGTATCGAAGTCACAAGCCTCATTGTCCCTTTATCGATATTATTTTATTAACTCGAAACGAACGCGTTTCGAGCGCGTCGCGATCGAATAATGTTCTTTCGAAATTTTACATTTCGCGTATTACGATGACCGAAGTTTTCTCTCGAATCGTCACGTTTCCTTGATATTGAACAATTCTTAAACATTATTTAAGAATTTATAATAATAATAGTAATCAAATAATAAAGACATATCGTTTACGTTAAATTATTCCATATTAAATGTACAAAAGAAATGATATAAATGTTTATTAATAACGAAAAACGATGCGTTCTCGATTTATTTAACGAAAGGATCACAAATTGTTCCCAAATTGATACAATCGATTAACGTTCAGCCATTTCGTAGTGTCGTAAGCGGGACGCTTAACCGATCGGAACGACTGTATTTGGACAGTGTACGACGTGAGAGGTTTGAGTCGTCGCGTCCCATCAACTCTTTTCTCTTTACTCCCCTCGCTGCAGTTATCGGTGCTCGCGTAGCAGGCGAGGTGGAACGACCGGCCCTGAAACCTCGCTCGGGCCCAACCTCATATGCTCATTATCCGCTACTATCACAACCGGTGTTTTATTTTTGGCGGCACACGAATTTGCGAACGTCTCCTTCTCCTCCTTCTCCTTCACCTCCTCCTCCTTCTTCTTCTTCTTCTCCTTTTCCACCTCTTCCTCCTTTTCCTCCTTCTCTTTCATCCACTTGCATCTTTTTCGATGATGTCATCACTTGAAATCATACCCTGACGGCACTAACTACAACGACTACAACGACTACAACGACTACGACGACTATAACGACGACCACGTACTGTTGTTTAGTTGCGTAAGAAACGATCGCGTCAAAGAATGGCACTCTCTATTATCGATCTATCTCTCCCTCCCTCCCACCCTTCCTTCCTCTCTTCCTCCCTCCCTATTCGCCGATCAATATTATTTTCTTATTTATCTTTTTTTTTTTTTTTTATTAACACTTTCCTTCTAATTTAAAACGAAATACGAACTCGTCGTTTGCGAACTAACTCTCGTCGTATGACGCATCCCGGAAAGTTTTACTCGCGGTGTGGTCATTTAAATACGACACTGACCTATCGACTGACTGCTCGATCGATTCTTTAGAACGAGTCGCGAATAATCAAGTATCAATGCGGCAATACGTTTTAAAACGAGACGAGAAATCGCGTTAATAGGCATTAATGGTTAAATTTACACGCAATACTGTAATATTATTGTCCGTAAAACAAATGTAAAAGTGTAAACATATATTTGTATGTATATATATATATATATATATTTATGTATCTTTATGTTAGATGTTATTGGGAATGCTCGTTGGTATTTCAGTCGATCTCGAGACGGAAAGTCCTTGAATGCGGATTCTATTACGTTCTTTGTAAGCAACTTACGAGCTTGAAAATATTTACGATAATACGATTTTTGCAAATGGCGATTTGAACAAGATTTTTCTACCTCAGCCTTGTGAGTAAGTGGAGAGATACGAGGAGGAACATATTTCTTTTTTTTTTTTTTCCTCTTCCCTCTTTTTCTTTCCTTTTTTCTTTTGATTTTTTTCTTCCTTTCCTTTTTCCTTTTTTCCTTTTTTTTTTTTCTTTTCTTTTTTTTGACCAACCAAAAGAAACAACCCCTCCTGGCGAAAACTCGTGACGCGATCTACACGGAGGAACAGCACGACGACGATCGCGAAGGATCTTATTCGGTATTCCCTTCGCACGTGGATCGTAAACCTCAATAATCTCGTGGATCATCAGGATTCCGAGATCATTCTCGTGGCGACGACAGTCGCGTGTGACCTGCCTGCGAAAGAGCTGTCGCGAGATAAGAAACTAAGCGCGCCTTCGATCTCTACCTAGGATCCGACTCCCTTCTTCTTAAAGGATTAACTTAAATTCTAAATTAAGTTAAATCGATGATCGTTCGTTCCGTTTGTATTTCAAGCTTTTTTTTTTTTCTTTTCTTTTCTTTTCTTTTTCCATTCTTCTTCTTCTTCTTCTTCTTCTTTTTCTTCTTCTTCGAATGAAAAAAAATTTCTCTCAAAGGAACGTATCCTTTTCATCACGAAAGATCAAATCAAATATTCGCCGATTCGATAAATATCAATGACCTTTCGTATGATCATTATTCCACGATGATCTTTCGATCGTTCTTTAACGATCCATCAGCGGCGGGGATAGGGGGTAGTGGATAAAAAAATATTGGGAAGGTGAGAGGGCAAAGCAAAAAAAAATTTTAATAAATTATTTCGATTTCTAAATGCTAAACGATTCGACAAAATCAACTTGAATACAATTTTTTGCAATTTTTGCATATATATATATATATATATATATATATATATATATATATATATATATATATATATATATGTATATTCGTACGAGAATATATAATTTATTTGAGATTAATTTTTATACTTAATCAATTGGATATGTAAAGATTCGTCGATGGTTCGCGCATTAACACCTCGTTAATTATTCTCAATTCTCATAAAAGCTAACTTAGCGCGAAGCCCCGCGATATGGGTAGATCGGCATAACTTGCTTATCTCATCGACCAGAGATGAAGCAAGATAGATACAGATAGAGATAGATAGATAGATAAATAGATAGACAGATAGATAGATGGACAGATAGAGAGAGAGAGAGAGAGAGAGAGAGAAAGAGAGAGAGAGGGAGAGAGAGAGAGAGAGAGAATAGAGTGGGCGCGGTAGGATTATTGTTTATTCATTCAAGAATTATCCTTCAGTGAGTTCAGTGGCAGCGCCTACTTACACGGTATGACGGTAATCCTCTCGCTATTTTTTTTTTTCCTCCTTTTTTCTTTTCCTACTCCTCGCTTTTCCTCTCCTCTACTCCTCACCTCTTTTCTCGAGCCGTTGCACCGGCTCCGAGAGAGGATAGAGACGCGACTGAGATTGGCGGTGGTAGCCAGCGACGGGCATATTTATTATTCTCATTGAAGGTGCGACGCCGAGGATCACCTTCGACGAAAGAAAAAAAGAAAAAAAAAGGAAAAAAAAAGAATAGAGAAAAGAGAAATAAAAAAAAAAAAACAAGAAGAAAAAAAAGAAAAAAGAAAAGAAAAAGACAGAAAGAAAACAGGGGAAAAAAAGAAGATAGAGGGAGAGAGAGAGAGAGAGAGAGAGAGAGAGAGAAGAAGAAGAAGAGAAAGAAAAAAGGAACAAGCCTAAGAGAAGTTAGTCTTCTTGGCTATTTTTCTTTTTCTCTTTCTTTTTCTTCTTCTTCTTCTTCTTCTACTTCTGTTGCTGCTGCTGCTGTTGCTGCTGCTGTTTCTTTTTAATTTTTTTTTCTTTTTTTTTTTTTCTTTTTTCCTTCTTTCCGTTCAGGTCTAATCTGCGCCGAGGGAGAGCTCTGGAAGGATCAAAGAAGATTCGTCGCCGAATGCTTGAAAAATCTCGGCATGATAAAATACGGACAGAAAAGGGACAAGATGGAAAGAAGAATCCTCGTAGTTGTGGAAGAATGCATTTCGGTAGAAATCTTGATAATCTGCCACTTTCTAAATTCCTTTCCTTTTTCGCCGGGACAACCGACTCTTCTTTTTTATTTATTTATTTATTTATTTATATTTTTTTTTCTTATTTTATTATTATTATTATTATTATTATTATTATTATTATTATTATTATTATTATTATTATTATTATTATCATTTTATTTATTTTCTTTTTTTTTCTAAAGAGAGAATTCATACAGGATTCCCATCACGATCGTTAAAAGCTAAGAGTTAAATGGGGGGTGGTGGTGGTAGTGGTGGTGGAGAACGGGAGGCCATAGAAAATAAAAAAAAAGTGCAAATCGCGAAAAATAGGATCTTTAGAGAACATTTTTTTCGTGAATAAATTATATGACGATTATTCGTATATATATATATATTTGTATATATTGTATACGATATATTTGTATATATATATATATTATTTTCGGGCATAAATATATACGAACAATTTTTATCTATTTAACCTCAGGGAATATAACGTTTGGTTCGATACTTTATGGACACTCTGTATATGAGATATCCGATCGACAGGTAAAAATTATTTATCGAAAGCTTCGATAATTATTTTAGAAATTGGAGGAACGATCTACGTCGTACGGTTTCGATCCGAACGAGACTTTGCAACATTGTGTAGGAAATCTGATGAACGATCTCGTCTTGGGTAAAACATACCAAGAGGATGATTTCATTTGGGCATGGCTTCGTACTTTACAAGAGGAAGGTGTTAAACGCATTGGCGTTGCCGGACCTTTAAATTTTTTACCATTTCTCAGGTAAGTCTATTTCTCTCTCTCTCTCTCTCTCTCTCTTTCTCTTTCTCTTTCTTTCTTTCTCCCTCTCTCTCTTTTTTTCTCTCTCTTTCTTCCTCTCTCTCTCTCTCTCTTTCGCTTCACTCGTCTTTTAAAAATTTTCTTAACGTTATATTTACGTAATATTTAAATCAATTTTTATTTTCATTAATAATAAATCAAACAACGATTAACTATCGTCCATTTAATTAAATTGTATTCGTCGCCCTATTTATTTAGCCCATTATTTTATATTTGTACCTTTAATCGATTCTATGTTGATTCATCGTACGTATTATACATGGAAATTTTCATATTATACATCATTCTATATGAGAGATAGAGCAAGGTTACGGCCCATTGGAATGCAGAAATTGATCGTTCTCTCTATACACAGTTGTTATAAGTAGTATTATAACCTCTTATAATAGAGTCGCTGAGTTTATTAAACGATAGAGGATTGTAATGGCATTTGTTGCAAGTAGGCGTCTACGTCCTGTTATCGATCTACCTGATAATTTAACCTCGATAAAAATCTTAACTCATGCTAGTACGCGATATTGAAATATTTATTGCCGATACAAAATAAATAATTAAATACATGTTTTTCTTATTGGAGAGATAAAAAGAAAAAAAAAAAAAAAAAAAAGAAAAAGAAAGAGAAATAAAGAGAGAGTGAGAGAGCGAGAGAGAGAGAGAGAAAGAGAGAGGGAGTGAGAGAGAGAATGAGAGAACTAACGCATGCGGATTAACATTCGCAGATTTATACCACGGTACGGTAAAATGATGTATAGTTTGATAGATGGCAAGAAAAAAACTCATGAAATATATAGGAGTATCGTTGAAGAACATCGAATTAGTCCCGTAAAAACGGAAAGCATTTTGGCAGCGTTCGAAGATCAAATGGCGAGTAGAAAAGATTCAGACGATTTTGGATACTTTAACGAGGATCAATTCTATCATTTGCTCGCTGACGTTTTTGGTGCAGGATTGGACACGACCGTGTCTACTCTCCGTTGGTTCTTTCTATTCATTGCGGTTTATCCGGAGGAACAGGTACGAAATATATTACTATTGAAAAATATTTCTTCCTTTCTTTTTATTCTCTCTCTCTCTCTCTCTCTCTCTCTCTCTCTCTCTCTCTCTCTCTCTCTCTCTCTCTCTCTCTCTTTCTCTCCTTTAAATCAATTTGTTTAGAATTTCTTTTTCCCTCCTTAACAATCGTATCAACGACGAAGACTTTTTTTACATTTCTTTATTTCTTCCTTTATCTCAATGTGTGTTTGTATACATATATATATCTTTCTCTGACGGTTTATACATACATATATGTATATACATATATACGAATACCAGGAAAAGATCTATCAAGAGATGCAACAGATGTTAGAAAATAAAGAACCCACTTTGGACGATAGAATTGTTTTGACGCGTCTCGAGGCAACCATAGCGGAAGTACAAAGGTTAAGAAGCGTTGTTCCAGTTGGTATGCCTCACGGAACAATCGAGGTATTTCATTCGATTTATTTAATTTTATCTTACGATCAATTCAAAGACTTTTTATAATACTACTTACGAATGAATTTTACGATAGTAAAGGTCATTCGTTAATTTGTCGTTATAAATTTTATTTTTCGAACGTTGATCGATAATAATCCGATTAATTAATTATTCATACATGACTACGATGTGATATTTCCAATTGAAATATTTCGATAATATATATATATATATATATATATATATATATATATATATATACATATATATATTATCGAAATATATATTACAGTACGAGGAAATATAAAAATGTCGAAGTTCATTTTCTTTTTTTCGTTTTTTTTTTTCGTTTTTTTCTTCTTTTTTTTCCTGCTTTTTTTTTCTTTTTTTTTTTTTTTTTTGATGATGAACTTTTGAAATTTAGGATGCGAAAATAGGCGACTATGATATACCGAAAGGTACGATGGTTATACCGGTGCAATGGTCCGTTCATACTAATGAGACTTATTGGGACAACGCATTCGATTTTAAACCGGACAGATTCATTGACGATGATGGTAGATTCTTTAAGCCGGAAGGGTTTTTGCCTTTCCAATCTGGTAAGTAAATGGCAAAAGATTTTGGTCATTAAAAATATTATACCTAGCAGTTCAGAGTACAAGGATTTTGTTGCACAGTTGAATAATAATACGGGTATTCGAACGTAACATTTTTCGAAAAGCATGCGTTAACTATTTACACGTGAAATCGATTTATCTTGCTTAAGGTTTCTTTTTTTTTTTCTTTTTTTTTTAATATTTTTTCCTCTTCTTCTTCTTCTTCTTCTTTTTTTTTTGTTTCCAGCGACGCGTTTTTTTTCTTTCTTTCTTTTTTCTTTTTTTTTTTTTTTTTTTCTTGATCTACGAACTTTATCCTTATCTATACGGTCGAATTTATATTAATTAATTATTTTTATATTAATGAATTTATATTAATCGATGATTATGTTCAATGATAAACGATAGATATATTTCATTACATATGACAATATTGAAGTTTCTTTTGTTTCAAGGAAAACGTATGTGCGTCGGTGACAAATTGGCCAGGATGATCATGTTTCTATTCTGTTCGAGAATAATCCACAAATTTGACGTATCTGTCCCTCCTAACGTTTCCATTAATCTTAAAGGAGATACCGGTATCACATTGGTTCCTAAACCCCATAGATTGGTTTTTACGCCTCGTAAAACATGATCCGTATTTTCATTTTCTCTTTTTCATCCTTCCTTTTTTTCTCTTTTTTTATATTTCATGATTTTTATAAAATATTAATTTTTATTATTATTTCATTTATTTACGATACTCCACGTGTCATGTGTTTTTATATAATAAACGACGATACAACGAAAAATAAGCAAAGAGTTTTCATTCTCAATATCCTTTAATATCGTATGAAATATTTTTCATCAATTTGACGTTATAATTAATTTTTAATTAATTTATAATAAACTTTAATTGATCTTTAAACAATTGAAATAAATAAATTTATCAAAGTCAAGATGATCTATGGGACTACGTTTAATGATATTGAAAAATCATTATCGACCGAATAAAAATAATCTTTCATTAAAGAGTCTATCTAATTGTTTTTTTTAATTTTATTTAATTGCGTACATTTACAACGTCCTTGAGTTTTTTTTTCTTTCTTTATTTAGAATGGTATAATATATATATATATATATATATATATATATATATATATATATATATATCGAATCAATCGAAAAATTCAATCATCCCATAAAAACATAGTCCATACAACGAATAAAAACAGTTAAAGAATTTTCGCATAAATTGGATTTCCTCGAATTTCTTGATCTTCGAACGGATAAAAATATATTTATCAGAGATCATTATTAATCATAGATATTTATGAATTAAATGATTTTATGATCGTTCAAAAGATTATACTCGTCTAACAATACGAAAATTATTGTTTACATTTCTAATTACATTTCTAAATTATTTTCTAAATTGTCTACATTTCTAAATTATTGTTTCATATTCTTCAGTTTATGTTTACTTTATTGCAATTGAAACATATCGGACTGAATCAATACAATAAATCATTATATTCGAGTCATAAATAAAAGAACTCAAACAAAAAATATCTATTATTTCGTTAATCATTCTTTAAACTTATACTTATCCACATAATTTGATAATATCGTATATGATAAGCAGTAATCTTATAGACAATTCATAGGCAATCATTTAAAGGAATTTCTCGTTATCAAAGTTTAATAAACGTTCTCTTGTATCAATCGATGCTTTGGTATTTTGCCCTTTCAAAGTACAATTCTGTAAATGATATTTTTATATTTGATCGGTCTATCAAAAGGACTGTGTGAGTCAACTTTAGAAAGTTTATAAGTGACTGAACTTTAAAAACAAATATCCTTTGTCAAGTTTATATATACGAGATACGATAATGCGAGTTCGTATAACTAATTTGAATAGTTGGATATCAAATTAACAAAAAAAAAAAAATAGATAAATAAATAAACCTATTGCTGGAATAAGTGTCTATATTTCTCTACAATATATATATATATATATATATAGTTTTTTCGAAGTACTCTTCGAAACCGGTATTTCTTTCTTCGATATTCGTATCGCTAACTGAAACCACACGTGTCACGAACACAAACACGAAAGATCTACGTGTGTATCAACGAATTTAACGATCCACGTGTACAACAATTTTTTTTCAATGACGAATACTTCGATTCACGAATATAAACGAATAATTTAATTAATTTAATAAATTTACTTTCGTAGTTTTTGTCGGTAATTGAATTGCGTGGTACGTACGTATATCTTAGAAAAGTGAAAAAGATAAAAAAAAAAAAAAAAAGAAAAGCAAAAAAAAATCCTCGCTAAGGGACGAACAAAATGATTGGATATTGATAAGGGACGCCTTCAAAGAAAAATATCTAAATTTTTTATTAACATAAAAAATTATAAACGAAAGATTGATATAGAGTTATTTAGATGTGACGAATTTTACGATTAGACGGAAATTAGATTTATCGGAAATACTGTCTTAGAAATTGATAATTATTGACGAAATAAACTTCGTATTTGATATCTATCGGAAATAGTTAAAGTAATTAATACTAATCGAAGAATATTTTATATTTATTAATATTTAATAATTAAAACTATTTCCAATGATATATTAGATTTTTAAATGGTTCCGATTATTTCCAATGTAACATTGGATCATATTTTTTATTTACGGTTATCATTGGAAAATTTAGATTAGAAAATTGAGACATTTTTTATTCAAAAAAAAAAAAAAAAGAAAAAAAAAAGAAAAAAAAAACAAAAAAAAATAAAAAAAATAAAAAAAAAAAAAAATAAAAAGAACACTTAAAAATTATTAATTTCTAAAATGAGGAAGATAAAATTAAGAAATCCTCTGTAAAAATTTTCAAATCTATCGAAAGAAAACGAGTCATCTGTATGAAACAAGAAAATCCTTGAAATCATCGCTTTTATTCTCTCTCTCTTTCTCTCTCTCTCTCTCTCTCTCTCTCTCTGTGTGTGTGTGTATCTGTATGTGTACGTATATATTTTTTTTCTTTCTCCGAGACAAAAACAGAAACGGCAAATGTGCGAAAGAAATGAGAAACTTTAGTCTAAAAATAAAAATATCTCGGTACCAGTAGATAACACCGAGCGTACGCGACCTAATTATTAGAAAGCATAAACATGCGAAAGAAAGTTAAGCACGATGATTTTAAGTCGAATAATAAAGGACAAGCTTTAAAAGAAATTTTTAATGCGATTAATGAATCAAATTAAGATAAAAAATATATACATATATACACTATTGATACAAGCTGGTAAATTATGATATCGTATCGAATAATATCTAAGTCATAAGTATCAAAAATGTATACCAATTTGATACTCTTATAGCAAGATATCGATACTCGTTCGATATATTTTATAAAAGTATCGATATTCATTCGATACTTACTTCTATGAAGATATCAAAAGCGAGCAGACATTTTTTTCTTCTTTATTTATTTTTTGTTTCTCCCTTTTCGAATCGTCCCTTTTTATTTGTTCATTCGTTTGTTTGTTTGTTTGTTTGTTTGTTTGTTTGTTTGTTTACTTGTTTGTTTGGGTTTACCAACGGAAGTATCGAACGATAATCGATACTTTCACGTTATATCAAATATCGTATCGATTCGGTTTAAGTAAACATTTTTTTATTCGATATCAATTTAAGAGAATCGATCGATATTGAAAATTGAATATCCAAATACTTACATTAAATTTCAATATGTATCAATATTTTCCATTTAAATATTTTGATATTGAATTGATCGAATATTATCAATCGATATCGATATCGATATCAATCACAGTTTACGATTACGCTATCATATGTTTTTTCCTCTCTGTCTCTCTCTCTCTCCCTCTCAGTCTCTTTCTCTCTCTCTCTCCTCCTGTCGATCTCGAATTAGCGAATTTATCCTCCGAGAAAATTTAAACAGAAAAGAAAAAAAAAAAACGAATAAACAACGTACTTAGGAACGTAAAGGAAGCATTTATAGCATCAAAAAAAAAAAAAAAAAAAAAAGAAAAAAGGAAAAGAAAAGAATGAATAAAAAAGTAGAGGAAAAAAGGGGGAAAAAAAAAAGAAAAAAAGAAAAAGAAAGAAACCATTATCGATACTCGTCGTATTATTGGCTCTCGATGTTTTCCTATACAAAGTGGCAATAATCCGAATTATATCGCGGAATTCGCGTTTTAAAGACGGGTTCTTCTTTTTTTTTCTTTTTTTTTTTTTTTTTTTTTCTTTTTTATTATCGCTCTTTCAAAGACCAAGCCTTAAGGCGGATTTGCGTTGCGTTACGTTGCGTTCGGTGTTGTCTTAGAAGCACGAAACTAAAGTCCGCCATAAGAGGAGGTAACCTTCATGTGCGTCTTTTACTTTTAACGCGTAAAGGAACACACGGTAAGAAAAAAAAAAAAAAAAATAAATAAAAAGAAAAAGAAAAAAAATAAAACAAAAAGGTCTGTGTACTTACGCACATCGAAGGTCGTTAATGGAGATTTAATGCAACGATTAGCATAACGCGCGTGCCCGACTGTGTAGGAAGATTACACAGAGGTCTGTCTGCATTTTGAAATTTTTTTCTTTTACTTTTTCTTTTCATTCTTTTTCGAAACGATCTCTTAAACACAGACCATATTCTCGAATCGATATTATTTTTGTTCTTCTTTTCTTTCTTTGTTTTTTCTTTTTTTCTTTGTTCTTCTTTTTTTCTTTTTTTTTTTTTTTTTTCTTTTTTTTTACACCAACTAACTAAAGAAAAAAAGAAACGACTCTACTTCCACTTTCATCGATCAGATCAGATTTTTACGTGTATACGTAAAATAAAATGAAAGGATCAGAACGAAAATGAAAAGTAATTATCATTAAATATGCTTCTTGTTTCTTCTTTTCCTTTTTCTTTTTCTTTCTTTTTCTTTTTTTATTTTTTTTTTCTTTTTTAATTTCCTTTCGTATCATAAGAATTGCGAAATGGAACGGTTTCTTTCTTTCTTTTTTTTTTCTTTTTGTTTTGTGTTTTCTTGCCTTTTGTTTACTATCTTTTTAATATCTCGTAGCGGCAAACTTTACACAACGAAGCCCCGTCTTGGTCTTCGAACTGCGCATTGAAACAAATTTCTAAATTGATAAGCGGACAAGTCCGTGAGGTCAATTCGATTTTGATTGTGGGAAAAAAAAAGAAAAAAAAAAAAGAAAGAAAGAAAGAAAGAAAGAAAAAAAAACTAATTTCATTCGGCAGACGAAAACAGTTTTGAAATCATTCCTAATAACTGACTGAACGATACGAATCAATTTCAGACCGTTCGTTGTCATAACAGAACGGTATTATCTTTCGAACGAAGAAGAGTTTTTTTTTTTTAGCAATTTTTGGTACCAACCAACCAAACCAACCTTTCTACGGGGAATCAACGTATGCACCTTGCTCGCGTATTTTTAAAGATATTTTTGAATTTTTCGTCTTTTCGCATTCCGTATATGGCGAGGCAAAAGCGTTAAAATGTCAACTTCGGTCATACCGTAAGGATGATTTTGCATATGCCGCGACCAATCTCGTCCTTTTCTCTCTTTCGCTCTCTCTCTCTCTCTCTCTCTCTCTCTCTCTCTTTCCTTTTTCTTCTTCATTTATTTTTTTCTCGCATCTCCTTCGAGTGTCTCGTCGCGAGATTCGAGAAATCCTGTGCAAGTGTTACGCAAGGACCACGTTTTATTTCTTATAATGTG